AGACAATCTTATTGTTCTTAGGTGAGAGATAGTTCTAGGAGTACTATTAGAATCGAGAGTAGTAGTGATACTTATGGAGTAATGGGAGAATATCTAAACTTGTCTCTGCATTGATTTGTATAAGTCATTAGTTTTCCGATAGCATTGAGTGCTGGCAAGGTGAAAAAGATTTTTGATCATCATTGTGTTTACCATATTCGTCACCATGGCTACGATTACCGTGACTACTTTTAGTGCTTGGAATAAGAGCGACATGGTCAAGATGAGAATAATGCTAAATAGAAGCTTGTTCCCTTTAAGGATGTAAGAGATCAAAATAAATATTAGGTATCACAAAGTAAATCATTAAGGGCTTGAATAGATTGGATGGAAGAGCGAAAACCAAAGAAAAATTTGGTACCCCATTTAAAATTGCGCAATACGAGGCACACTTTTAGGCTTGTTTCAATGATTTTTACAAAAAAAATGTAATGCGTTTATGCCTCATTGTCCCAGGGCGAGCTTATGTCTCATCCGGGCTATAAAGTGAGCCTCAACTTTAAAAGCACTTCAAAATTTTGAGGCTATCCTTAAATATTTTAAACAAAATAAAAAAATAATATCAATATATTTCATCTATTAATCTTCACTTCTCATACACTAAGTAATAATAATTAAATAAAAAAAATGGATTTATAAAGATTTATGCAGTTATAATTCTAACTATCAATATAGTTATTATTTTAATTAATATTTTTATTTAGAATAATGGAAGGTAATTGAAATTAAAGATAAGGAGGAATGTGAGAATATGAATATAATTGAGAATAAGATATAAGATTAGCAATTTGTTATATTGATGATTCTAATGAAAACCTATTGGGTAATGAGAGTAAATGGGTTTTTAAACTTAAAAATTCAAATATTGATGTCTTATTATATTCAGAACTTAAATAGACGACAATATGAGCGAGAGAAAAATACTTATGTTGAACTTATTATAATTATTACATTTTTGATATTATAATTTTTTATTTTGATATCTTAGCTTATTTTGATAGTGTAATGTTTTTATAACACATCTAATTTCAGGATTTGATATTAGGATGTTAACACGTTACTTCTTAATTTACGCAATTTACTAATATATATTTTATTATATTACTTTTTAATGTGATAATATGTTAAATTATTAATATTTTTTTCTTACTTTACACTTTATGATTTATACAATATTTGTTAATGCACGCTATTTTTTAAATTTGTGGCTTAGCCTCGCCTCATGGATAAAAAATGACTAAGTACCCAATTACATAATTTTAAAAATTGACGGAGTAATGAAGAGCTTTTTTATTTTTATAAAGTGGTAGGATCAGTGGTAATGGGTCATCATTGCAGATGTTTATTTCACTCGCCTTTCAAGATGTTGTAGTGGCTTGAATAGATCTGTCATCATGTTGCGAAGAGACGATGTGAGAGTTAAGAGTATTTATCTTCGAAATTTTATTGTCTTGGAAGCGTGTGAAAAGAGTATAGTTCAACAGTTCTTTTGCAGTTACTTTGTTTTTAGGTTTTTCCTTTTTGTTTTGGAGATATTTATAAATGATAAAAATTTTTGTAAATTGTAGACTTGGGATGATAACAATAAGTTTATATAGAGTATATGTTTTAAACTAATGAACTCTATAATCTCATGATGCGAATGGAATGCAAAGTGAAGAGATAAGTCAAAGTCAATGACTACTGAAGCATAGTCTAGTCTGCAATCTTTGATGTAGATAAGGGATTTAAGAATAGTACTTGATGTGGCTTGCTATGAGTTATTGGATCCTATATGGGATCTTACTAGAGCTGCTCTTCTCCTTTCCATCGTGTAAGGCATGGTTGGAGCTTGCATACATGGTGCGACATGGTGCGACATGGGGGTGCATGGGAGACAATGTCCGATGTGTAGGAGCATCTGTCTAGCAGGAAGCTCTCAGTTACATGGACATGTATATATATTGAATGCCAAAGCTCTCGGCTTTCAGAAGATTCAAAACTTGCTTGGGCTTATGAATGGTTTTGTAGACTTTCTAATCTATCCTAGATATGCAACAAGTTCACGGGTTTTCTCTACTGAAATTGTGCTGGAGAGGTGAGCCTTACCTATGGCTAGTTGATGAAGATCATGCCACCAACCAAGCCTTGAGTCTCTTATTCCTCTTCCTAAGAGCTGCAACTACCATTCTCCTCAAGCCCCAATATCGGCGTCGAATAGCCATCCCCCCTCCATTTTGACGAAGGAGATGATGTATATAAGGCTGTTTTGGGTTATGCTGCACGGCTGAGTAGGATTTAAGGATCTGGTGGTAACTGGTAAGTATGCTCGTCCATGCATGAGCTTTGATTAGGCTAATTTGGCATTTCATAGTTTTGATCTAAGGTTTGATTTTTTATTAATGGTTCGATCATGGATTGAAACTTTTGAAAAAGTGGCTTGACTAGGTCTATTTGTTTGATTAGGTTTTAGGATCAGGATGAATTGTTTTTTTTATTAGATGTTTTAATTGTTTTAAATTATTAGAATGTGATTATATCCATACAAAATACGGATTTGACCAAATTTGATTTAACTCTCTTGTTATAGAAAAAATTGCTATTCATTATATCGATGCTTTTTAAGTGGGAAATACAGAAGTTGTACAAAATTTTGTTGGCTTTCTAATTATATTAAAACTGAAAGATTTCGACAGGAAAGAGGAAGTTTTGTTCCCAATAATGAAGTGAAAGTAGAATATTTTAACTTGAATATTTGTTCTTCGATTCCCATAAAAATTATGATTATCATAGTGAAATTGGCCAAAGTAAAAAAAGATTGAAGTTGTATAATTTTTTTTTGGCAGCTTTTCAATGATATCAAAATCAAATGATTTCCATTTGCAACAATAAGTTATGCTAAAAAAACTGAAGCAAAATCAGAATTTTTGATTTCAAATTTGAATTTTGTTCTTAGATTCTCATGAAAAATGCAATTTATCCCGTTGAAATCAGTATCAAGGTTGCAGAGTATTTTATTTATTTTTTCAGTTATACAAAATTAACTTGATTTAGATTAGAGATGAAGAAGTTCTGCTTAAAAGTGAGGTTTTGTTGATTTTGGGCAAATTATAATTTAATTTAATTGTGATTGTTGCGGCAAATATTGAAGTAAATTAAATACTTCATGGAATGATGAGTGTGATAAAACTTGCTAAAACTCGAGAGGCAATAAAAACATGATATTATAAGGTTAGTGGAACCTACATGTCTTGTAGCTAACTGGAGAGTAATGGATGGACTAATCTTAGGATTCTCTTAACTAATTGCGATCTCCTGAAGGAGTACTATGCTAAGCAATTTCTTAGGGTGCATGTAAATCGAGATGACTCAAGGTTTACCTAGTTTGTGTGTTAGAGTGTCGGAGATAGGCTAATCGAATTAGAAGTCTAATTAGGGGAACAGGCTGTAGAGTCTAACCTAATATATGTGTTAAAGGTTACTAAGTTGATTAAATAGAGAGTCTGTGTGCCCTGATTAGGTTATTGACTTGATCAGATGTAGGCTTGGGTCATAAACAGATATGCATGACTCATGGTAAGAGGCCCTATATATGGGAAGATATATAAATCAGTCAGCGATGAATGCCCAAAGCTTAGGGTACATTGAGCCAAGGGAGACTAGAATACAACTCTAGTATATTTGCTGGAGATTGAGTGAACTATAGAATTTGGAGTAATCCAAAGATAGCAGGCGGAGTTAATACCAATACCAATCTAATGACCATAGATCCTAGGAAGTACCTACTAAGCGATAACACAATAAAAGTACTTGCCTACTAGGTCTACGAGTGTGCAAGACATCTTCTAGACAAACTTAGAAAAAATAGGTAGTGTATGGAGGATCTAACTGTTAGAAGTACACTAAGAAATTGTGCCAACATCTCAGAAACTTGATTGTGCAAGCAAGCGAAGGTTCGAGGCTATTAAGCATCCATATGACGACCACTAGCTAGAGGCCTGCCATTCAGTATTCCTGATGGTTTTAGTTGGTCCGAGTGCTTGATAGTCCAGATGGTGAAGTTTTTTTGAGAGAACCCATGTTAAACTAGAAAGCCCATGTTGCCCTTTGTTTATGGACTCATTCTTCATCAATTTGCATTCTTCCACGCCCTTTGGATGCGAGAGAAAAGAGATGAAATACGAAATTTGTTTATTGTTGTGCTGTTTAGTATGAAATAAAGCTCTCACACGAGGAGAAAAAAGCTGCTATACCTGCATATTATGCTTTGGTTGTGAGTACATGGAGTACTATTGTACTTTTCATTTTATGTTTCCAGGCTGAATTAAAATTGCGGCACGGTAGGTTTTTGAAAAATAAAGAAGCTGAAAGTAGTATTAAATGAATCTTAATGCAGCTAACTTTTCTTTGTTAAATCTCGGAAAGGAACTGAATAATTGGAACATGCTAGGACTTCTACAAAATCCTTCCGCACCAACCATCCAAGCTTGAGTACACTCTATAATCGAAGCGGACAATTGATATTCTATGTTCATTGCTATGATCCTTGTTGAATCCATGCATATTATCATCAAAAATCTGATTGTGAAATACATTAGACATTTGGCTTTTATTGTAAGATTCTTTAATCATAAAAACAGATTTATATAAAACAAGAAAAAGAAAGTTAGTGTTTGAAAAACTGAACTTGTATAAATTGAAGTTCTGCTTGAACACTTTCATTTTTAGTACAAAATCAGATGACAAAATAAGTCCACCAATTTCATGAATACTTTGAAAATAGATTCCCTAGTTTACGGATATTGTGAAGATGATCTGTGCAAGCTTTGCTTATCAAAATAGAAGTTAGTAGAATGCGACAGATATAAAACTCCATTTTTTCTATATGAAAACTGTTCGGATCCTTGATGCAGCAAAATGCATGATTCCTTTCATGTTGCACATATTCTTTTTTCACTGTCCTCTTGTTTTCTTTTTCTCAGGCAAATGATGCACAGCTAAGTACAATGGTTGCTGAACAAGTAAGTTCTAAGTTTTTTCTCTCTACGAATTTTCTTCTCTCATAAATGCTTTTACGGCTTTTCCCATGACAAGAAAATTCTATTAATGGTCCCAGTTGTCGTTTCCTCATATTTATTGAGATCTGTATTCACAGTAAAATGTTTGATATACCATCACCTTTTTAACAGGTTGAACAAGCTCGTGCTGGCATCGATGCTCTTGCTTTATCCCAGAAGACGATAAATCAGCTACGAGAAAACTTTTCGGCCATTGATAAGTATGATTTCAGTGGATCTTTATTTGGCTTTCAACGCACTAATTCTATCAAAAAGATTCTGTTTTGCAATTTCTCAAATTCTAGGCTGTCTGCTTATTGTTTGAATCTGGGCCAAAATTTTCCAGGAATGCCAAACACTTATTGAAAACCATGATAAGATAAAACTACTTAGCAATGCAAGGAACAACTTGAATACCACCCTAAAGGTTAGTTCATGTTTGCTAGTTTTACCCTTGTAAATCCACATTCATGATTCATTTTCCTGCTGCTTAGCATGCTAATATATATATTATATACACCTGATATATGCAATAAGTTAAGTATGGTGAATTTTTATCCAGTGATATTGTGATGATTACTTCTAGGATGTGGGAGGAATGATGTCAATTTCTGTTGAAGCTGCTGCTGCTCGTGATTCCCTGCATGATGACAGAGAGCTTATTCACACATTCGAGGTATACATCTTTTATTTCAATGTATTATGATAAACTGTGGAATCAACTTACACGCCCATTCTTAATTTTTTAAGAGTTGTCTTTTATGTTTGTGTATAAAAAATTTCAATAAATATGGTTTTGTTTCTTGTATGCTGGATTAGAGGCTAACAGCACTTGATGGTAAGAGACGCTTTGCATTAGCAGCAGCAGGATCACACAAGGAAGAGGTTGGCAGGCTAAGGTCAGAATATTTAATCACCATAGGTTACTTCTTATTGAAATTCACTCTTTGACACACACTGGAAAAATAATGTTTATCATGATTAATTGCCAAAAGTTCTGTATGTGCTATAGCTTACTAGTTTTCTTGGCTTAAAAATATTGATCAACGCTGTAATATTTTCAACGGGAACAGTGAATAACAAGGTGCAGAAATATCTTAAATTTGCTAACAAATTTGTGCTTCCTCTCATAGTGGTCAAATGATGGATTCAATGGCAGTGCATGTTTTAAGCTTGGAGGCTTCCGGTTTTGTCTAATTATTTTGACTGCAAATTTGTTGATAAAAAATCCCGATGGATTCTCTTTGAACTCTTTGTTCGCTTTTGAGATATTGTTTAAAGATGCTATACGTTTTGACAATTTTATTATTTTCTACAGAGAATACTTTGAAGATGTTGACCAAACATGGGAGACCTTTGAGAAGACACTATGGGGGCATATTTCAAACTTCTATAAGCTTGGAAAGGAGAGGTAACGTGAACATACTGATTTCTATTGTAGTTAAGTTCATACACTGTTTTGTTGGTTTCTGTCGCTTTTATCTCAAATAATTGGAATATTTTACACCTGATACCCTATGAACTTAGGTTTGTCTGTTCAAGTCAATTTTATTAAAGTTTGTATGTTGGTTTTCCTTGGAATTTTTTGTTTGGAATTTGGATGCCTTTTAATGTAAGGGCTTGGTTTGGGGTTTGAAGGCTTAAGTATAGCTTAACCAATTGATGCTTGTTTCAAGTCTTTTGTTAGTGATAAGCTACGTTAAGGTGAGGTGGTAAGCCGCTTTAAGCTGATGTGAGATGATTGGTTGAGGTTTTATTTATTGGCCAATGATATCCCCTCTATATTGAGGCCTAAGATTTTTGGAGAGCCCTAATAAGCTAAAGGGGAGAAATGTCTCTTTTGTATAATTTCTCTTCTTTTCATTTTGTGCTCATGCACAAAGCTGGGAGTCAAAATAAGGTGGCCGATGCTCTGAGCCGTTGACATGTATTGTTCATGTAGTTAATTAGTAGTGGAGTTTGAAATGTTGGAGGATGCATATGTCACTAATGAGAATTTTTAGGAGAGTTGAGTTCGTTGTTAGGAAAAATCGTGTGAGCTGTTCCACATATAAGATTGTTATTTGTTCTACTAGAATATACTATGCATTTCGAGGATTTCAATCATAGAAAGTAATTTGTAGAAGTGCCATATTGGAGTGATCGCATGAAATTTTGTCATGGATAATGCTCTTTTCTTATTGAAAGAGAATTTTTTACTTGCCCAAATTTGTACGAGATTTTGGGAGGCATATCCAATTGTGCAGAGTTTGTGGCTTAGCCAAGATTCGAGGGCATAATATAGGTATATATATTTCTTTTCTCGTTCAGTAGTCACCTTGGGCAGATGTAATAATGGATTTCGTTATGAGTGGACCCAACAAAGTAATAATTCAATAATAGTAGTATATTGTTTCTCCATTGTGTCACATTTTGCATATCACCATAGGTCAATGAACACTTTACACATTGTTGATTTATTCTTCAAGGAGGTAGTTCACTTTCATGGTGTAATCAAAACTATCACTTAAGACAGAGATATTAAATTTCTAAGGATATGAAATTTCTAAGTCACTTTTAGAGGACCTTGTGGGGTAAGATGTATACAAAGCTTCAGTTCAGTTTAGTAACACACTCACATATAGATGAATAGATGGTGTGGGGGTAAATTAGTAGCTGCAAATTTCCCAACATCTATCCTTACATTGTTATCAGTTGTAAGCTATGATTCATTTTTGTAAGTAACTAAGTTTAGTAATTATTCATTAAAATGATTACATGAACTTGCAATTTCAGAGAACTTATGTTAACAAAAGAAAAGCAAAATACAATAAATCAATATATTTTAAAATATTGCAAGTACTATCTGTAAATATGCAGGGAAGCAAATCGACGTCCAAACACATGCCAAGTCCAAAATGTCAAAATCATCAAGGAAATTGTTATGTTTAAGTTTGAATATAGTAAATGGGGATTTTTTTTTAGTTAGTACCATTCTAGAAAACTTAAGTTGGAACTTTTTATCCACCAAATTGATAGAGTTCTTATAGGATGTCAAGACTTCACTGAGTTTGAAGCGTTCAATACAGTCTTGTCATAAAATTTTGATAGACTTGTAATAAGAGGGCAACTTTTTAAAATCGACTTCAATAGTTACTTAAAAGTACCAATACAATTCTCTTGAACAATTGAAATATGTATCTAAAGAAAACACAGGCCATATGATTGTGAGAGAGCTTAGTGGTAGTAGCATCCTATTTTATTAGTTTGCCAAAAATTGTACCCAAAGAATACAATGTTTACTGAACAATGTAATGGACCGACGCTAGGGAAATAGAACTCAAATAAGGGATCGGGAGCTTCTCTTAAGTATTTACATATATTGACCACTTTAGACTATTAACATGAACATTGAGAAAAGAAGTCAAGAATAATTCGCTTCCATAGATAATTTGACAAGCAAATGATGTTGATGTAGAAGTGCAATAGAGTATCTACCGCACAGACGAAAATCAATCTTGATGGTATGAATAATCTCCAAGCTTGACTTGCCAGACGAAAATCAATCTTGATGGTATGAATAATCTCCAAGCTTGACTTGCCAAACGTAAATTTAACAACTAAAATGTAGGAGAATGTGACAACAACAGAACAATAACGTCAAGAACAATAATAACAACAACATCAAGCCTTTATCCCACTAAGTGAGGTTGGTTACATGAATTCTTTTTCTCCATTGTGTCATATTGAGTGTCATTATTTTCATTTAATTCTAATAAATTAATATCAATTTTTATACAATATGTCCTAGTCTTTTTAGGTCTACCTCTGCTTTTCTTAACATAAGTCTAATCTAAAACATCTACTCTCCTAACCAGATCATTAGATGGTCGGCGTTTAATGTGACCAAACCATCTAAGTCAACTCTCTCTAATCTTGTTTGACACTGGATCTACACGAACTCTATCACAGATTGATTCGTTTCGCATTTTGTCTCCAAGTGTAAAGCCACTCATTCACCTGAACATCTCATCTCAACAACACTTAACTTTGTTTTGTACTTCTCTTCTAAAGGCCAATATTTTGCGCCATAAAACATTGCAGGTCTCACCACCATTTTATAAAACTCTCTTCCTTGTCTAAGCGGTACTTTTCTATCACACAATAGATTTGATGCATTCCTCCACTTTAGCCAACCAACCTGAATTCTACTAATAACATTTCATCTATATCACCATCACTTTGACAATAAACCCGAGATATCTAATATGTTCACATCTTTTAATGATTTGATCACTTATAGTTACAACTTTATCACTAGAGAGACTACATTATGTTCCATGTATTCAATTTTAGATCTACTCAAACAAAGACTTTTAGACTCCAATTTAGACCTCTATAATTCAAGTTTTTCGTGAACTCTTTCTCTAATCTTATCCATAATAAGAATATCATTAGCAAAAAGTATACATCATGGTACATCATCCTACAAATGTCCAGTAAGAGAATCCATGACTATAGCAAAAATACATGGGCTTAAAGTCGATCCCTTATGTAATCTAATTGAAAAAGAAAAATAATTGGTCAATTCTCCTTTTGTTCGAACACAAGTAATAGCTCTAGAGTACATATCTTTAATGACTTGAGTATAACTCATATCAACATCTTTCTTTTCTAGAAATTTTTAAAGAATTTATCTTGGAACCTTATCATAAGCTTTTTCTAATTCAATAAAAATCATATTTAGATCCTTCTTGCTCACTCTATAATTCTCTATCAAATCTATCAATAATTTATAGCTTTCATAATAGACTTGCTCGACATAAATCCGAACTGATTATGAGAAATCTTTGTATCACGTCTTAACCTATGTTCAATTACTCTCTCCCATAATTTTAAAGTATGACTCATGAATTTAATTCCTCTATAATTTGCACGCTTTTGTGCACCCCCTTTATTCTTAAAAATGGTAACCAAAGCACTTTTCCTCTGCTTCTCGGACATCTTTTTAGTTTTTAAAATAATATTAAAAAGTTTAGTAAGCCAAGAAATTCTCAAATCTTCTAGATATTTCCACACTTCAAGTGGGATATCATAAGATTCTACTATTTTTTCACCATTGATTTTGTTTAAAGCCTCAACTTCTTTTTACTAATGTGACGATAAAAATAAAATGTTTTCTTATTATTAACGATATTAAGGTTACTACAACCGATCATATTTTCAGAAACTTCATTAAAGAGTTTATCAAAATAGCTCACCCACCTATGTTGAATATCTTCCTCTAAGAAAATTATTTTTTGATTTTTGTCTTCAATATAATTTGCTTGAATTATATTTTTACTTTTCTTTTTGTTTGTTTGTCTAGTTTATGCATATATTTTTTCACTTTCTTTAGTATCTAATATATTATAAAGATCACTAAAAGAAGAATTCTTATCATCACAAATTATTCTCTTAGACTCCCTGTGGGTCACCTTATACTTTTTCCAGTTCTTTAAGCTTTTACATTTAAACCAATTTTCATAACATTTTTTATATTTTATCTTTTCCTGCATATTATTATCCCATCACCAATTATTTTTATTAATAAATTTTTTTTTATTCTTTAAGTATATCTTTTGACATTTATTTAATAGGGCTTGTTATTTTATGTCACATAGAATTAGTTTTCTCATAACCATCTCAACTTTTGAAATATTGCAGTTTACTCATAAAATAATTTTGTGTCTTTTAGGTTTTTGCATTCATCTTACAATGTCATCTTAAAATCCAGAACTAATGATTGATGTTGAGTACTTAAATTTTCACTTGGAATGACCATACAATCTTTACATTTTTGACGATATTTTTTTCTTATAAGTAATGATATATTCATCTATTTTCTTATTCTTAAATAAAATCTTAACAATAATAAAATCATAAGCTAAAGTAAAATCTAATATGATTTTATTTAATTCGTTAATCATTTCAGAACCGTAGTCACCATGAATATTTATAAAATTTTCTACCACTGTACGAACATGTCCATTTATATCACCTCAAATAAATATTCTTTCTTCAAATGGTTTCATTTGTATTAATTCTTCGAGGTCATTCCAGAAATTTCTTTTGAACCTATATCTTAACCTACTTTAGGACCATAAATATCCATAAAATTAAAAATTTTAGTATCAACAACAATCAACAACAATCTTTTTTAGTATCAACAACAATCTTTAGGGCTATAATTCTATCTCTAATTCTATTAATTTTTTCAGCATTATTTTTTGAACTTTTATTTTTAATTACAGCTACAACATTTCTAGTGCGATTCCTAACTGAATACCAAAATCAGTGGAAATGAGTGGCATATCATGATAATAGTGGTTGACTTGATGGGTGGTTGAATTACTAGGAACTCTTTCCACTAACATCTATGATGGAAAAGTG